TTAATAAAGAGTATATGAATTTAAGTGTTCATAAAAGGTCCAAGCCTGTCAATCAGTCTGAATTCAGCAGTGGAATTGAGAAGGTTTTGTGGAGGTCTTCTGGAGGTTTTGCTGTGTACACATCTCAGTCTGATATAAGAAAATACAGTATTTTTCCCTTTACTAAGCTACAGCGTAGCCTAGCTGAACATGCATATTTTTTGCAGCCTATAGTAAATTGTTTTTCTTGCTACATTCTTGTCTTTCTGCCCTTTGCAATGTGAGTAATACTGGCATAGTTCACCCAACATTCAAATTGAGTAGTCTGCATTTAGAGATGATGTTTGAGAGAAGGAAAATGTAAATAACAGAGCTGACTGTGTGTGTTTAAACCTACTTAAGTCACTGAATGCTTCAGTCAGTTTAACAGAGTTTATAGAACAGATAGGGAAGGCAAAACACACTTAACATGTTCAACAAAATGCAGGTTTAGATTTCCCACTGAATCATTTTCTATCAGCAAAAAGGTTTTTGTCCCAAATCAAGATTTCGTAAGTCTATGTTTCAAACATTTAAAATCTGAAGGGTTAGTCATCAGTGATGGAAAAACATTCTTTATGCTGAAATTTTGCAGAAAACTGATAGAAGATCTGTGTAAAAAAAAAAAAAAAAAAATTCTTTTTTGATTGAGTCAAATTGATACTTTGGCTTGATGGGTAATTCAAGTCACTGTGCATCAAGTTTAGGTCTTTATCTGCTGTACTGGCCTGTACCAGTGTAACTTGACCATATTGAGGAGCTCCCCATTTTGAATGGAAACAATGTCAGGTCACACTATGCTGGTGTTACTTTCCTACCTGATCTCTGATTTCACAGTAAGCCACGTGGGTGAGGTTTCTGTCTGCCATGACTGGGAAACTGACAAGCTTGACTGGACTTCTTGTGATTCAGGTTTCCCATCTATTGGTAACTGCATTAAGACAAACTGCACTAGGCAGTAATTAGCACATTGGGTGTTAACTTGGAGTTTCATTTTTCGTTTCCTTTGCTGTACTTACTGCAGAGAATCAGTTGTAATGTGAACTTCAGTCAAGGAGAAACTGAGCAGGCAAATACTAGATTTCTGATTTGTGACAGGAGAGACAAGCACTTGATGTTTTACATAGAAGGATTTGTTTTGAGTCAGAAATATTTTCACAGGGTAAATAGTCAAATATGTAGGTTAGAAGCTTGACCATTCTTCACTAAGAATAAGCTGTTTCTGCCACGTTCAGTTTTTGTAGTAATTTATCATGTCTGTCCCCAATTTTCAGAGATGTCAGAATGTGAACTGGGACACGAGTTGCAATTTTTTCTCACTTTAGAACCATATACAATTTCTGTCCTTCTAGGTCCAGGTTTTTTACATCTTTTTGGTGGGCTCTTACATTTTTCTGGTTTACTCCTTATTATCCTAGCAATACAACAGTAAGATGCAAAAGCTGTGTATCAGGAGAAGTCAAGTTAACCTTACTGCTTTAAAAACAAACTATCTGCTGTAAAGGTATTCAAAGACACAAAACCTTTGATAAATAAATACAAACAAGCATCCTGTACCATCCAACACCTGCTTTATTTTCCCTTTTATTGAAAAGAACCACCAAATGGTGTGTCACTGAGTCATTACCTTCAATGTTTAAAAGAAAACCTTCAGCAAAAAAACTATTTTGCTTTTTTAAAAAAAAAAAAAAACAACACACGTTGCTGTGACAGGCAGTCACCTACTCATGCCCAAAAACACCTACAGTTTCCCAAAATAACAAAACAAGGTTTTCAGCATTGCAGCTACTGAAGCATGGAGAGTCAAAACCAGAAAATGGCATGTGGTTTCCTCATGGCATCAGGTCATTACTACCATTTGAACGAAGGCAGTAAAAGAAATAAGTATTTGTTTTAATAAAGACAACAACAGGCAGACACTGGGTTTTACCAATTTTATTTCTAGACTTTATGTTGTTGTTTTTCTTTGCTGGAAACTTGTCTGTTACAGGTCTGTTGGTGAAAATGTGCATTTCAGACCAGTGATGCCAATAAGTACAATATAAAAATGTAGGAATCTGAATTGCTCGCTTACTACAGATTGTTATAATAATGTGACAAATAAAGCATCTCTGTTGGCACATGAACCCACTTAATCTGGATTTGGCCTTTTAGTACATACAATATTTTAAAAGAAATTTGCAGTACACACTGCCACTCAGTGTAACACATAATATAACCAACAAGCACTAACTCAATAATCATGTTTGGTTCAGAGACACAGAGATGCCACGAACAGAAGTGTTTTATGAGGTAAGCAGTAAGAAATGTTCCTGAAATTTGGACAGAATGTATCCAGTCCTCCTGGGTCCTGCGACTGCTAGTAGCATTGCAATGCTTTATTTATATGCACTATCTTAACTGCATTTGCCTCAAAATGAGTTCTAATTCTGTTTTGGTTTAGCAGCATACAGGCAACAGCTAGATTATTCTTCAGCATACAACTCCGTTAGCTGGCTTATTTATGAGATTTACAGGCTTCTTAAATTAGCATGATGCTATCATTAAAAAAACAAAACAAACAAAATAAAAACAAAACAACAAACAAACAAACAAAAAAACCCTTGTATATCATAACAGATTAAACACACAAAATACTTAAGGCGTTCCAGAAGATAACCTATCATACCAAATGATGTGTCCCAACTGATGGGAAACCACATCAGGTGGCACACAAGAGTTATATTATAATGCACCATTCGTATATCAAATGTGGCTAATAACACAGCTTAAAACTACTATGATAATAAACCCCAGATCAGACAAAGAATCCAGCTTTATAAAATGCATGACGACGACGACAAACAAAACCAAAAAAAAAACAAAAAACCCAAAAATAATAAAAAAAAAAATTGGACATGACTTGATCTTCTGAAATGTCAGCTGGTTTTAAATTAATGCAACCTAGTTGCGAATCGCGAGACCCATTCAGAGCAACGTTCGATGCATTTCTGTTTGCAGTAGAACTATGAGGCACTGTTTACAAACATCAACACCTGGTCTAGACAAGGGTAACTGAAGTATGAGGTATTGAGAGACAGGAAACCTTTTTTTTTTTTTTTCTTTCTTCTTTTTTTTTTTTTCTCTTTTTTTTGTTTTTGGAATAGAGCAGTAAATCACATTAAGTAAAAATCGATCACATCAAAACAAAACCGAAAAGAAAATCTACCAACCAAAAAAAAAAAAAAAAAAGGATGTCAATAATATAATTTTCTATGAGAAAATTAAAACCTATAACATGGCAGTATATGACATTGTATAACAAAAAAAAAAACAACAAAAAACTGATCCACAAAATAGCAGCAAAACACAATGACAAAGATACAGAAAAGCAATGTTAATTTTTTTTTCTTTTTCCATCCATGCTGGGAATTTATCCATAGCAGCTCAATAAAAATGGAGCATCCACAGCTTTTCTTTTTCTTTTTATCTTTTTTTTTTTTTTTTTTTTTTAATGTTTTTCTCTTTTTTTTTTTTTTTTTTTTTTTCTGTTTTGTGTTTGTTTGTTGGGTTTTTTTGTTACAATCAACACCTCCGCGGCAGTTTTCTCACGTCCGTTTCACCATCACATTCTCCTCGAGCATCAAACTTCAACAGCTATGTCCACGTCCCTTCAGCTACTTTCTAACATAATAATAATTAAAAAAAAAAAAAAAGATACATAGCCAAGATGTGCAAATTTTCTATTGGTAGCTAAATAAAAAGAAAAATGGGGCATATACTGGAATAAGAACTTCTTTCAAGTACTCCAATTTTCATCTCTTCTTAACTATGGCGTTCTCATGGTCAGCCTGCTTTTTTGAGAAATGGACAGGAAGGGGCCAAAAAAACTGCTTTGTTTTGGGGTCTGTTCTTTGAAGAGTGTCTTTTTCATCAGTAAGCTGTGTTAAAACTGCAACATCAAGGGTAGAAAGATTATTTTTTTCAAAAACAAGAAGGGGCGATTGCATTATTTTTACAAATCATACTGGCCTTACGAACATCCTCTGCAATAAATATTCTTTTTAGCCTTAACTATAAATTATATATTTTAGTGTTTAAAAACCTTCAGTTGTAAAACATCTAGCGACAATCCTTAAAAAGAAAAAACCTACGTGTCCTATCGTGTGAACCTTTAAGGCCCCCTAATTTTATAAAGATGAGTTGGCACCAAAGGATTTCTAAACTTCAACTTTTCTATAGAAAAGGATAGGCAGATATCCTGGCAATTTGTGGATGCAATTTCTCTCACTGGAACGCAACCTTCGGAAAGAAAACAAAAAAAAAAATCACCTCTCCTCTAACACCATAGTTAAATGCACTTGCTTTGCAATTCCAAGTTTGCCAACAAGCACTTCTATATTTCCAAACCATTCCATTAAAAAACAAAACGAAACGAAACAAAAAAAAAATTCCCACACAATAAAAGAATGTATTTCCTATTTCTAATGGACTGAAAGTGCTTTGAATGGAATGGTTTTAGAATATTACAAACAAACAAAAGACTAAACTGTGGATTGAACCTGACCATCATTAGGCTGTATATCTGTGGGGTCAGACCAGCATTTTACACAGGTAACTACAAAAATATGAAGATTACAAAAATAGAATATATTAGGTCACTATTGCGGTTTCTCTTTATAATAGAGTATCGTATGAGTAGTACATTGGCCTTTCCCAACAATGCTAAGCTGGATCCCTACAAATGCCTTATGCACAGGCAATCCACAGGCACACACAAAAAAAAAAAGATTAACATATAATAATGCTGCATACTAACATACACTAACTAACGGGTTACGTTAACCATTTATAAGGTGAAGAGGATAAAAAAAAAAACAACTAAGGAAATAAAATAAACATTTACAGATGAATTATAAAGTGACTAAATGCACAAGCAAGCAAGATACAGAAAAGCCTAGAACTGCATTAAAGCTATGCTTTTTAAAGGAAAAACAAAAACCAAAAGAATATTTCATTTACTATCTAAAAAAAAAAACAACCCTCTTCTACTTTAAAAATGGTTGGTTGGTTTTATCTGTAAGAAATCAAATCTAATACCTCCCCTGGAGACATTTTGTGTGTTAATGCCTATTTTTACAACATACAGACAAGAACACTTTAATATAAAAACTAGTTGATTATTATTGTATAAAATCCTCTATTTTTGTAGCACAAACCCCTGGGGGTAATGCAAATACTATTTTTTTCTTTTTTTAAGACAGTTTTTGGGGTATTTTTTTTTGTTTGTTTATTTGTTTGTTTGAAGTCACAGATGGAAGGGAGACAGAGCAAGAAAAAATATAGCAAGACTGGTTTTCCCTTCTGGTATAAAAATGTCCTGGAGAAAAGGGTTTCTGGGGGGAAGATCCTGATGCTGATTCCTTCTCAGATGCCCTTTCTTTGCTTTTCTCGCCAAGCAAACCCATTAGAAGAAGTCCTCTTAAATGTTCACATCTCGCACATCAGTAGGTGTGCAGGAAAGGTCTGCTTCATCCTCTACAGTCTTTGTTTCTGAAGATATGTTGTGCTGCTGTGCCTGACGTAGACTGGATTCAAGGAGGGATTCAATCTGTTCTTGGCAGGCTCGTAAACAATCCTAGAGATTAAACGGAAGGAGAAAAAGACCCAGGGTCCTTTAGAAAAACAGGAAGATCACAGCAAATACAATTTCTTGAAAAAGCAAGAGAAATATATAATCAAGTTATCTGAGAGGGCAGCAGATTGAAAGGAGTATGGGAAGAATCCCTGAACAATGAATGGATTGGATGAGCTACCCCATTTTCTGCAGGATGCTAGCCTGGATCCAAACTTTGTCTCATACCATCTGCTATTTAGCATCTCCATCCATGGTCCTCTGGACAAACCACAACCAAGGTCTTACTGTTAAGTCTCAGCCCACAGGTCTGCAACTGTGGTGGACACCCCAGTACAATGACATACATAGAAACAAACCCAGCAGGACCTGGACACAGCAGAGATGTTGTAGCCTGTACTATTTTCTGCACTTCCGCAGTTCTGTAAAAGTCCATCCTGACCATCTTTTACCTCACCGCTGTCCTTTCTATACCTTTTGAAAAACAGAACAGTCTGACTGGACAGCAAAGTAAATCAATCAAAATTCTATGAGTTCCAAAGACATGAAACTGGGCTGGAGTCAGAGTTGGTCCAAGGATGGCTGATGCTGTAACGGTTTCTGCTTTTACCACAGAAACATTTCAGCAATAGTCTAATAGAAGTGATGGTTATAAGCAGTGATTTTCCTAGGCTGAGTTCCAGTAATGCAAAGTTCTTAGGTAGAAGTACCATGTATATATTTAGATATACATGCCCAAAGTTGCCTGCCAACTGCTGCTACATCCAGCAGTGGGCAGGTCAAGTTCGCTAACCAATTTCTAACTCAGAAAGCATCTGAACAACAAAATGTACCAGACTGTATGACCCCAAAATGGAGAGATCTTTCAGAAGCACCACTAAGCATCTTTGTAACCAAGCTTCCAGTTTGCTACCACATTCACCTTGAAATCTCAGTCAGGGTGAGGTCTCTTT